GGCACCACTTCTAAACGTCACAGTACAGTACACTGTGATGGCTGACAGGTTGACTTTAGAACTAGTGAAAACACTTATTTTTGCCTATCTATGAAAGAACAATGTACTAAAATGTACCACTTATTAAATTACCTATTTTTCTACTGTACTGATCAGATTACATTTCCTACTAAAACTTGATCAGGGTGGTGGGATATGAAGAAGCCCGAGATGGCACTGGCCCTGAGAACTTACTTAAAGAGATATATTTAGCAGTGATCACTCTTAAGCTAGAGGGACCAGTGAGAGTTTCACTCTGTCCTGTGCCCCTGGCATATGGAGGCCCTACCTAGCCAGACTGACTGAAGTCCTAAGGTCACACAGTCAAGTCCGTGTTCAATTGAATTACTGTTTTGTTTTTTTGTGTGTGTTTTTTTAAATATATCTTTATTGATTTCAGAAAGAGGAAGGGAGAGATAGAGAGAGAGATAGAAACATGAATGATGAGAGAGTCATTGATCGGCTGCCTCCTGCACGTCCCCAACTGGGGATCGATCCTGCAACCCAGGCATGTGCCCTGACCAGGAATCGAACCCTGGTCTCCTGGATCCTAGGCTGATGCTCAACCACTGAGCCACGCCCGGCCAGGCTGAATTACTGTTTTTTGAGGACCTTTCTGAAATTGGGCAAAAATCTTAGATCTTTGAAAAGTCCATGACTTTTCTTCCACACGACCAGTCCAACAGAGGTAAAAACAGATCTGACTTTAAATGGCAGTTTAGGCCCACAGTGAAAGATACTACCAGCTTTTTCATGTTTTTCTGTAGAAGGTCAATATTTAGGTTGAGTTGTGCCTCCAGGACCCCATGGGATCTCCTGAGGAACCAGTGTGAAGCACTTATGCCCTAGGGTGACCCAGAAATTAACATGTGACTTCCTGATAAGTATTCTGAAGTAAAATCCATTTTTGCTAGAGCTAAAGACAACAGTAATACCCAAAGTATTTCAGAAGGTGTTTGGTAATTTTTGTCTTTCCTGGAGTTAGCAGGCCTTGTGCACAGTGCATCAGCATTGTTTGTGGTGAAAGATGGCAACGAGACAACATGTATAATGGCCAACTTCTCTGCTGAATTCTCAACCAACTATAATACCAAGAGTGGCTCTCAGGTAGGAAACACCACATTGTATGTGTGCACATGTGTGTTCACACACGGGGGAGAGAAGATTATTTAAAATTTTCAAATGTTTGAAAAATGATCCCACCTTAACACAGTTCTCTTGATGTATGCATAGTTCCTTCTCGGCTCATCAGTAGCCTGTGCTGTTTTATATTCTGAAGTTACAGTTGTAATGTACAAACCGTCCTGTGCTCTGCTTTCACTATTTTACTATGTGCATTTTTTAGTTTTCTTTGTGATTATCTTTTGTAATACTTCATTATGTTAATCAGTCTAATTTGCTAAACCATCCCTCTATTGGTAGTTAAGTATTTTTATATTATTTTTCATGCCCAGTGTACAGCTCTGTGAATATTGCTTTGTTGATCTGTTGAATTTACTTTATATAAACTATTATGCTCCAAAAATTGTATATGAACAGTTGATGTGCAATGCTATAAGCACTGTACTAGTTTGATTTAAATGTTTTTAGTTGTTTTGTTTCATTTCCTAGATTTCTCTTAACAAATAGCAGCATTTGTTTGTATTTCTTCTTTCATTAGTTACCTGCTGATGGACATTTTACTTATTCTGTTTACCATGTATTCATTCAAACATATCCCTAATTCAAATTTTATTTTCAGTTCCTTGTTGGAACCACCATTTTTCTTTATCACCATTTTGATAGCATCATATCTTTTTACTGCCACTTAAAGGGCATTAATGGGCCCCAGGATTGCTGGGAAGATCAGCAGTTATTTAGAGTACTCTGGACTCTGTGCCAGCTGTTCCACCTCATTAATTCATTTGTACTGGTCTAGATACAGATGTGGTCTCTGTCAAAATAGAAGGAAACTGGGAAAGTTTTGTTCTATAGAAATGTCTCAAATTCTAAAGATTTGCCCAAGCACCTTTTATTTTAATTTCTATTCACTTTTTTTGTGCTTGGATTTTTAAAATATTGTTTTGTTCCATATTAACTGTTACACAAATGGGATCATCCATATGTTGTTATGTGCCTCACTATTTCACAAAGCATGTCTTTATCACCTCATTTTTTTAGGACAGCATAGTGTACCGTTTAACCGTAGTTCTTTTAGTCAGTCCAGTTCATTTTGATGGACATTAGGTTGTTTTGTAGTTGTTTGTTTTGCATATCATAGTAAACTCAGACCATTCTGTGTAAACACCTTTTCTTTGTTTAAAGAGACATATTCTTTAAACAAACATTTCTATAGCAAAAAGGGTAGTAATAGCCTTTTTCAAATAAAAATACATACCTTATCTTGAAGCCCAATATGAATTATTTGAGTATACCAAGATAACTTTAGTTTTAATTCTGTTCTGTTGCAAATTAAAATTATATTAATGAAGAATTTGTAATTTATATGAAAAATTAAGTCAACTTTGTCTTATTCTTGGGTTACTTTTTCTTTTAATCCTCACCCAAGGGTGTGTTAAATTGATATTTACAGAGGAAGAGGGGAGAGAGAGAAATGTGAATCGGCTGCCTCCCTTACATGCCCCCACCAGAGATCAAATCTGCAACCTTGGTATATGCCCTGACTGGGGGTGGAACCGGCAGCTTTTCAGTGTACAGATGACACTCCAGCCAACTGAGCCACACCAGCCAGGGCTTGAATTACTTTTCTATTACTGAAATGTTACACTGACTCTGTGTTTTTTGTTTATATTAAAAATATGTTAATAGTGACAGCTGAGATGGAACTGAGGAACTAAGTTTATGTCAGACTTACAAAAAGATCTTTATTTAGTGTTTCTGGATCCCTTTAATAACCTGTGTTCTAATTGGGTTCTGTTGTCATTGTGTGTGTTCTAGAATGTGACCTTCAGCCTGCCACATAATGCAGAAGTATTAAATAGCAGCTCCTGTGGTAAAGAGAATGCTTCTGACCCCAGCCTCATGATCGCTTTTGGAGGAGGACATACACTGACCCTCAGTTTTGCAAGAAATGCAACACGTTACAGTGTCCAGATGATGCGTTTTGTTTATAATTTGTCAGACACACAGATTTTCCCCAATGCAAGCTCCAAGGGTAAGAACAAAAATTGACCAATTATGAAGTCACAAAAATTGGATTGGGGTAGTGTCTAAAATTACTTTTAACTAAGTACTTAGGATAATTGAAATGAATTCTTTTTAAATATAGGACCCAAGACTGTGGAATCCGCAACTGACATCATGGCAGACATAAATAAAAAATACAGGTGTGTGAGCAGCAACCAGATCCACATGAATAATGTAACTGTCACATTCCATGATGCCACCATCCAGGCATACCTTTCAAAGGATAGCTTCAGCCAGGAAGGTAAGACACTGCCCTTGGCCCTAATGTCATTAGTCTGACTCCACTGAATGCAGAAGCAGCTTTGTGCCCTGATGCCTGAAGGGATTATGTATGAATGAGCATCTGTATAGCTGGGGACAGAGCTGGAAGCTTCTGTCTTAGGAAAGCTATCCACCAAACCTTTTTTTATCTCTAGAGGTGACCTCTTTCAATTAGGATGGACAAATATTGATCAGAAAAGGGTAAAAGGGCAAAGCAACTGAAACCCTCTCTGAGTCTTCCCATATCAGAGCTAATGGGGGTCTGGGGTCCAGGGTCCAGCTCAGGCAGACCTAGGGGCAGATGGTGGAAGGACCAGGAGTGCCTTTCTGAGGGGATCATGACCGACCAACATGCCTACCCACACAGCACCCCTGCCTGGATGTACCTGCCAACCCAGCTCCACTCTAGCATCAAACAAACAGGGCTCCAAGCCCCTTCCCAGCTCCATGGTCCTGGCTAAGGTAGTCTGGTTTCCTTCACTTCTAAAGTGAGGGTAATAAGCTGTTTTAGAAGGCTGTTAGGATTAAAAAGGAAATTTATGCAAAGTGCTTCTCTCAGTGCCTGGCATGGAGTAAGTTGTAAATAGGGCTGTCATTTTACTATGACTTAAGAAAATGATATTTGCCAAATTCTACCAATCACCTCATTTTCCTGAGGGGTGAGGGATCAATTGCCTGGAGGAAGTTGTTTCCACCTGCTAAGAGGATATGTTAAGGACAGCACCTCCTTCTAGTCTTTTTATTGAATTTGTTGGGGTGACACTGGTTAATAAAAAGATCTAGGTTTCAGCCCGGCTGGGCATGGCTCAGCGGGTGAGTGTCGACCTAGGATCCAGGCGATTGGGGTTCGATTCCCGGTCGGGGCACATGCCTGGGTTGTGGGCTGCAGCTGATCTATGGCTCTCTCATTATTGATGTTTCTAGCTCTCCCTCTCCTTTCGTCTCTCTGGGATCAATAAAGATATATTTAAAATAAAAATAAAAATCTAGGTTTCAGGTGTATAATTCTATAATACATCATCTGTATATTGTATTGTGTGTTCACCACCCCAGGCCTAGTCTCCTTCCATCATCATATATCCCCCTAACCTCCTCCTAGTCTTTAGAGCTGCTGCTACTGATGGGCGTTTGATGTGCATTGTTCCCCAATGGTCTTGCTTGAAGGCTCAGAGTGACTGTTGGAGAGTGGCTGATTTGCACCATTACCAGAGCGAATTGGCAGGATGAACCAGTCATCCCTTTTGTGCAACTTGTTGCAGCCTTCAGAGGCATGGGTGCTCCTAGCAGGGCTGGCAAACTGGCCTATAGGCCTTGTCCAACCTGCCTCTGGTTTCTTTTTAGCCGGTAAGCTAAGAATGGTTTTTATGCTTATAAATTTAAGGTAAAAAAAAAAATCAAAAGAATATTTCATGACACACGAAAATTCTTGGGAGTTCAAGTTTCAGTGCCCATAACTAAAGTGTTATTGGAACACAGCTATGATCATTCACTCACCTATTTCTGTGGCTGCTCTTCATGTTAATGGTGGCAGAGCTCAGTTGAGACAGACACCCAACAGCCACAAAGTCTAAAATGTTTAGCATCTGGCCCCTTAACAGAGAAAGCTGACCCTGACCTCATAGGAGGAGTGTTAGTGACAGATCTAGGACTAAAAGAAACCAAGTGTAACTGGGAGAACTACAACTAGTAACAAGTGTGCAGGACTTAGAGGTGGAGATCCCCGTGAGCTGGAGCAGCAGAGGATTCTGAAGGAAATGGGCTCAACCTTTCTACGGTGCAGCCTCTTCTCAAACTAGGCCTGGAGGGCTGAGTGAGCGTTCAGCTTCACCAGGAAGGTGGATGGAATGCGAGGATTTTTCCTCTCAGGCTGGTGTGAGCAGTGTTTGAAGGCAGCAGGTCCAGGCGTGTGCACACTGTAATTACCCCTCCTCAAGCAAATGAAAGGTGACTTTAGTTGGACAGTGGCTAAGCCAGTGGGAGTTAGATCAACATGCTAAATACTTCAAGTTATTTGTGTTCACAATTATAAATCTCCCAACTACCTGGGTTTCATACCTAGCTGAATACATCTGGGTTGCATCAGTATTCTAGCTCAGGTCTTAAGAGTAGAAAAAGGAAAAAGCAAAAACTGTCAGAAGGTCTGAGGAAATAGTAGCATCTCTGGCTTGCTGGTTCAGTGCATTGACCTCACTATAACTGGGCCTGAATGTGGTCGTAGATACAGCTCCTCACCATTACAACTTTTCTTTTGCTTCGAAGGCTTCTGAGCACAGACAGAGATGACTGGGCCTCCCCTATCCGGGCTCCCCAGTGTGGCACTTTGGAGTGAGGTGCCACTTCACAGGGGTTCACAAGGGTACTGGAGCCCTGTAACAGGCTACCATTTCTAGTCTAAAAACAGATGTGACAGTAGAGAGACTAACTTTGTTTTTAGGTTAATTACTGTTTTTTAAATACTTTATTTTTTAGAACAGTTTTAGGTTCAAAAGAAAATTGAATGGAAAGTACAGAGATTTCCCACATTTCCCCCATCCCCATACATGCACATTCTCCCCACTGTCAACATCCTGCATTTTAATGGACATATGCACGTGATTCCAAGTGAAAAAGGTGCAGATGTGAGGCTGTCCTGACAACTGAACTCCAGCCAATTGCCCTTTCCCCAGAGGCATGCTCCTGTCCTTCACAGGGCTACCTGGGGCTTTGGCTTTCCAGCCTGGGAGTCCTTGGTTATTTGGAGCGCATGGACACCACCCACTGTTTTATCAAGTTGGTGATCAGAAGTTTGGTTGCACCCGGCCAGGCATGGCTCAGAAGTTGAGCATGGGCTTAGGATCCAGGAGATCACGGTTCGATTCCCTGTTGCAGGCTCAGTCCCCAGTCAGGGGTGTGCAGGAGGCAGCCAATCGATGATTCTCATCGATGTTTCTATCTATCTACTTCTCCCTTCCTCTCTCAGAAATCAATAAAATATGTTTTTTTTAAAAAAAGTTTGGTCACTAAGACACCCTACCCTCCTCCCAAGTTTCGTGGTTGTCTCCTCTCTTCAAAGCTTGACTCAGTTTTGTCAAATCTGCCTGTGCTGAAACGCATATACTTTAGAAAGGCAGTCTTTTTTTTTTTTTTTTCAAAGACACTAGAGCACACTCTCAGTAAATTCTATTGGAAAGAAGAAGGTTAAGAAGCATCCTAAAATTATAGAATATCCTGTAGAAATTGAAGTTTCCTTCTCTCATCATAGGCCAGGAAGGCTTGATGAAGTCATGGGTACAGTTGTATACTCTTCACTGGAAAGGAAGGTGTCCCTATGGGGCTTGTGGAAGTCATCTCACTTTCAAGTCACATTTTCTACAGTAATCCCTTATCAATCTAGTGCTAAGAAAGGAAGTCAGGGGAAAAAAAACCCAACCTGATGAGGGGCCCTTTTTAAGGCTTTTTTGCTCACGCTTATGCCTCTTCTCTTAAGAGCTGCTCCTACGCCACCTCTCACACAGCCATGACCTCCTGCTTAGCACACTGTTTTATGGGATTTGGTCCTCCAGTGGCCTGGGTCCTAGGACCAGCGGGTAGCTGCCCGTGTAAGTGCTAGGTGGGGAGAAATTTGAGGCCTCTGGATCTCAAATATGGGCTGATGCTTGGTAAGGAAGGTTCTAAACTGTACAGTAATATAGTAATTGATAATGTGATCTTAGTCTTTTGTTTTTTGGTGTTTTTTTTTCAGATTTCCAGTGACAGTTGACATACAATATTATACCAATTTTAGGTGTACAACATAGTAATTAGACATTTTACATACCTTACGAAGTTGATCTGAATTGTTTTTAACGCTCAACTCCTAGCATGTTCCATGGTTACTGAGCTTGTCATGAACCTAACTCAGTCTGATCCTTGGGGAGACTAGCCAGCTGGCATGTCATTATAGCACTTTTTGACTATTCGCACTGTCTTACTGGGTATTTTTTTACACTGGTTAGTATTAATGTTATTTTGCAATTAAGGGGACCAGCATTTTCCCTAGTAGATTTGGCATAACTGACCTCATATACTACCATAACAGCATAAATTGCTTAAAAATACTTAATTTCTAGTAAAATTGAGCCATTTCCTGTTTTTTATCTCCTTTTGTGTCGGTTTTGCTCCTTTGAGTCTTGGGTACTTCTTAAATATTTTTCTTATCAGCTAAATTCCCTGCTTCAGGGAAAAGATCCCATGTCAAATATATTAAGCATATTTTTATATCCCCCTACTCTGATCTACTCATAGATCCTTAATAAATTGTTGAATTAACACGTTTGCATTAAATTAGTAAAATTTGGGCTATAAAAGCCTATTTAAAGTTTTTATTTTTTATTATTAAATGTTAGAGTGGGGAAGAGACAGAGTGAGAAAAACATCAGTTTGTTGTTCCATCCATTTATGTGTTCATTAGTTGGTGATTCTTGTATGTGCCCTGTCCAGGGATTGAACCTGCAACCTTGGCATATCAGGATAAAGTTTTTATTTGGTAAACTGCAGGTTCAGGATATTAGAGTAGGCTTCTGTGGCCTTACTTAACAGTAGTGTAGTAGTCACCTTGACCAGAAAGTGCTTGTTGATTTTGCCTTTACACATGTATCATTTTACCTAAGAAAGCTCACATACTTAGAGATTTTATTTTAAAAGGAAATAAGCCAGTGCTGCACTGACTTTTTCTGTCAGTTTTGTTGATGAGGATAAGTCCTGAAGAAAACCAGGTATCTTCTTTCTCAAAGGTCTACAGAAGTAGGGTAGATGATTATCTTTCTAGAATGCTTTGCGTCGAGGCTGGAGAAAACCAGGTGAATGAGTCTGACTCTGTTCATCAGAATTGGATTTCTGGGCGCAGGCCCACACTGGGTTAATGGGTTTGGCGTGAGGCCCATGCATGCATCTGGTTTTAATGGTTCACCAGAGGATTTGGGTTTATTCACCTTTTTATAGTTAAGATTTGATACATGGGAACTTGTCAGCTCTTCTGTGACCATTAGAAGTTCAAAATAGAAACAACTTTTAAATATAGTACATAAATTTCACTTCTTACCCAACTTGGCATTATTTCTTTTTCATTCCTTAGGAACCAGAGTCTTGCTGCTAGTCTAGCTTAAACTGAAGAAATTGATGCCAAAACATCTCTTTCCATTTGAGACTCCTTTATTGCAACATGCAGGTTTATTTGAATATCTGCTGCTGTGTCTCCCTGATTTGGGGCCTTCACGGCATAAAAGCTTTAGGAAACTGTGAGAAGAGCACCTAGAAGAATGCACAGCCCTGCATAAAGTCCCATTGTTTTCTTCCTGGGGAAAACTGAGAATGACCCAGCAGCAACCTCTGGATTCCCCTAGCTTTTCTAGAGGCTTTCCCACAGGTGACATTGAATATACTTTAGTGCATTTTATTTGTAATTATCTCCTTGTGGATTGTGAACCTTCTGCAGGAAGGACTTCCATATTTGCTTAGAGAGTGGACTTTGCATTTATAATTCAGATAGAAGGAAGAGGACATTTTATCCATGCAGATTTCTAAAGTCCTGAAATTTTCTGACTAGGGATTAGACCTACCAGTGTTATTCATTTTCCAAGTTGATATTTTGTAACCTGCTTTATGAAAACAATGGACCATTGTCAAATCTCAGTGTAGGTTACTTTCCCCCATGTGTGTTATGTGGCCATCTATACCAGAATTTGGAGACTGGCCTGTTCTTTTTTGTTTTTTTCTGTTTTTGTTTTTTAAAAATATGTCTTTATTGATTTCAGAGAGAGGAAGGTAGAGGGGGAGAGAGAGAAACATCAATGATGAGAGAGTCATTGGTTGGCTGCCTCCTGCCAGCCCCCTACTGGGGATTGAGCCTACAACCCGGGCATGTGCCCTGACTAGAAATCGAACCGTGATCTCCTGGATTAGGGTCGATGCTCAACCGCTGAGCTAAACGGGCCTTTTTTGTTTTGATGTGGTTTTAATTATGTTGTGTTCTGTAACAACTTTTAAAGTAATAATGAAGGTATTTTTAAAAGTGCAACTAAACGTCAGCCTGTAGCTTAGCCCAGGGTAAGAAGGAGACAGTGTTGGCTAGCACACCCTGGGTTGGAACATCTCCGGCAGTGCTTGCCCTGCCACTATTATCCCAAGGGTAAGTCCATTTCTGAGGGCATTTTCCCCCCATCTGTATCCTCCATCTAGAAAGACATTTTACTCTATAAGATCACATTGTGTGAAAGCATCCTGGGTGAATTGAACTTTCCAAAAAGTGTGTTGAATTTTCCCATTACAGTTTTGTGAGGTGAAGTTTTCTATCTCTCCTCCCCCAAGCAGATAGGTGTGGAGGCAGAATTGGCAACTGAAAAACAGTTACAGTTGAAGTTCCATTTTAGCTTAGAGTAAGTGGAAACAGGTGGTAGGTAAAGTTACACAAAGTCCCCACTGGCTCCCTACACTGGATGTTTGAGCCAACCTGCCTTGGCTCAGTACAGTTGTGGGAGGGGTTGGAATTGGATGGAAATTGTATGAATATTATTTTAAACTTTCTTGAAAGTCCACAGAAACAAGGTGGTAAAAGAATCTAACAGGAGTGGTATCCTAGAAGTGCTGCATGTCTTGGTGTTTTAAAATGTTAAGTAATATGTAATCTTCACAGAAGTCACCTGTCTTTCCTGTCTATTCCTGTAGATAGTGTTCAGCTATTATTGTCCTTTGGGTTCCATCTGCCTTGATTTTGAATATAAATTTTTGTTGTAAACAATCATGGTGGGTCAATTCTGAGGGACAGAATCACATTCAAACTCCTCAGCATGCCCTCTGGAGGAACATTGTGGTGTCTCTCACAGACACCCCACCTCCCCCCAAATCTGATCTCGCCTGGTCAACCCCAAGTCCCTCTGCTGTGGCCTGTCTGCTCTTCAGCCTCCCTCCAGTCCTGGATTGTTGTCTCCTATTTAGGGTTTTGCTCCCACACTTACCGGGCTTTCTACCTACATAAGAGTGCCTGCCTGCTGGTGCCCTCGCCACCCTGCCCCAAATAAAAATCCACAGCAGCTGACTGACCCTGTGCCCCTGAGCCTCAGCTCCAGTCTCCGCCTGCAGGGGTCACCTACCACCCGTCCTTCAAAGGGCCACCTCTGCCACTCTCCCATGGTCCCCTTGCAGATGGCACTAGGTTTGTGATGGTGTGTGTGTCTGGTGTCTGTCTGTCCCTCCTGAGACTGAGTTCCAGGCCCCCCTTGCTGTTGTTCCTGTGACCATTTCCAGCACCATGCAGTAGCTCAGCATTTATGTGAACTGTCACCATTTCAAGTGGTATGTGGCTGACTGTCCCAACGACCTGTGACAGTTACAGTTTTTTTCTTGACCTAACAGTAGGAAGGGAAGGTTTGTCATGCAGCAGAGTATAGATCTGTGAACATGGGGCTGCCCAGGGGCTGAAATGGAAGAGTGTCCAGTTAGAACCGTCATACAGGGGCAAGAGTGGAGGCAGGTGAACTGGACACTCTGCTATCCCCTCAGCCAGCTCTGGGACAACAGTGCCTGCCTGCCTATAATAATTTACTCCTGTTCTGTGGGGTGGGGATACTTGAGAAAGTCTGCTGGGTTCTACAGTGAGCTCAGGGAGAACGAGCTGGAGTTCAGGGTTGCTGTGACTCCTGTTGGTTCTAAGGAACCAGAACTTCACCGTCCTTCCTGTGAACAGTATGATTAATCCCTCCTTGTCCCTCTAGAGACGCGCTGTGTGCAAGATGGATCTTCCCCAACAGTGTTGCCAACATCTGCCCACCCTTCCACATCCTCTCCGCACCCTTCGCCTCCCCACCCTTCGCCTCCCCACCCTTCACCATCCCCAGTGCCTGAGAGCCCCTTGGTACACAAGTACAATGTGAGCAACACCAACGGAACCTGTCTGCTGGCCAGCATGGGGCTGCAGCTGAATGTCACCTACAAGAACAAGGACGACAAGGTGGGCTCAGCCCCAAGGAGCCCCTTTCTCTCTGTGCGCATGGGTGTTGCAATTCAGTGTATGTGCACGGCCTTTCAAAATAAGTCAGTGTGCCTGTATCTCTGGTTAGCATATTGGCCACAGCCATACACACCCCTGTGGCTACTTTCCTCTGAAACAGCAGAATCAAGTCAGCGTGGTAGAGACTGTTGTGTGGTCTGCAAAGCATAAAACATGTGTTTGGTGCTGTACAGGACAAGTTTGTTGACCCCTGAGAGGATATTAAATTTTGCTTAAGTTTTTACTGTTCACACATTTTAATGTTATTTTTATACTTTTCCTTTGAAATAATACTTCTCCCTAATGACAAAGTCTGTGGGGTTGTGCCAAATAACTTGCTTGTGATGAAGGTAAAATGTGTGACCGTTGGGAGACAGGGGTGAGAAGGGCGCTAGGATCTACCACATCTTTCCCATGGGTACTTGCCATTTTGAAAGTAGCAATCAGAAGTAGCACTAAAAAATTGTTTTTGAATCGGAAATCTGCACTAGGGTAAACTTCTAGTGTTTTCCTTGTAGTTTTGGCTAAAATTAGTGTGGCCTTGACGTTTCTGTTTTTAGGATTGCTTTTGTTTTTTCAACAGTAGAGGACCCGGGATGTGAGATGGAATGGTAATTTGGTTGCTTTTGTTATTTAGACTGTGACCAGAGTATTCAATATCAACCCAAATAAGACCCAAGTCAGTGGGAGCTGCACTACCCAGCTGGTGACCCTGGAGCTCCAGAGCGAGGGCAGCACTTCCCTAGTCTTCGGCTTTGGAATGGTGAGAGTTCATGTTCATTTCACTTGGGGGGCTTCGGCGCAGACCTGCCTGGCATCTTAGCATGCATTTCACTGTGGTTTTCTTTCTACTGTGTTTTCTCAGGCACTTGGTGCCTTGTAGCCACAGTGCCTAAGCTGAGCACACCATGTGCAAAGCCGGAATGAAATTGAACACAGGTCCTTAAACCCAGAGCTCTGCCTTAGGAAGGAGGAGGTTTTTTTCTCTGCCTTCCTTTGTCATTCTTTTTGGACCCTCAGCTCCCCCTTCCCCTTTTTTGTTTACAAATGGGCCTTCATTAGGGAGCGCCTCCTGTGTGCCCAGTAGCCTCTGTCAACACTAGACTGCAGACAGTCTGTGTGGCTGCACAGAGGGACGGGCGGACACAGGTCGGCCTCCCTCACCCCTTTACTGAGAAGCAGCATCTCTGTGTCCTGTACCTTTTTTATACCCGCCTGGGAAGAATCCTACATAAGTTAAAGTGATAAGGGAAGAGAAGCACAACTCATGAATATTTATAATGTACTATGCTGGTGAACTGTTAAACTGTTGGCTTTCTTGTAATAAAATTTAACTTTCCTAAAGTTCAGTAACCTTTGGTGGGGGAAGTTTACCTTTTTGGTATAAGTTTCCTTCAATCCTTTTAGTAGAGAATCTGATTTTGTAAAAAGATCTGGAAGGAACTAATCAGAATTTGAGATTTATATGATGCCTTTTACAGACATAATACTCTTCAGTTTCATTCTAAAACTTAGAAATATGGGAAATCTAATTTATTACCAAAATTTACAACGAATGTGATTCTGTTGACTGCTTAAGGATTATCTTCTTCTCTTTAAGAATTCAAGTTCTAGCCGTTTTTTCCTGCATGAAATCCAGTTGAACATGACTCTTCTCGATGCCAGAGGTAAGATCCCCACAATTCGCCTGCCCATCCTGGTGTGTCAGAGCACTAATTCTCACATGCCTTTGCAGATCCCACCTTCAAGGCCTCCAACACTTCACTGAGAGCCCTTCAGGCCACCATGGGGAATTCCTACAAGTGTAACGCCGAGGAGCACATTAGGGTCACAGAGACCTTTTCTGTGAACATTTTCAAAGTGTGGGTCCAGGCTTTCCAGGTAGAAGGTGACAAGTTTGGGTCTGGTAAGTAGCATTGAAGGCAGTGTTTTAGACTCTGAACGAGCTTCAACAGGTTTTGGTTCTATTTAGATATTTAACAGCTTCTGTGTTGCAAGGAGGGGTTGGGGGTGCAGGTTCCCTTTCCCAGTCTAAGAGAATTTTAGATCAAATTCTCCTTCCTATGGTACCTTGCTTTCAAAATGCCTAGCATGTCTTAGTTGTGAGCACGTCACTATTTGAGCAGAGGCAGTTGTTTTAAGAAATAATGTGGCTCTTCCCCCTATGAAATTGGGATACAAAAATACTATCTGTCTGGTGAGTTCAGTGTCCAGAAGGGCTCAGACACCCTGGACTGCATACTGACCATAATTTCCTAGCCGTGCAGAACGCCTGCCTCTGTAGGAGCTTCTCCAAGTGATAGTATATTGGAATCGGAGCCCCTCCCCAGTATAATCTTCCCCTGCTGGGCGGTGGGCAGAGGTGGAGAAGAGGGAGAGACCTCTTCGTAGGGTCCACATGGTGACAACCCATGTGAGCATGGTGCACTCCCGTTTGTCTCCTCAGTGGAAGAATGTCTGCTGGATGAGAACAACATGCTGATCCCCATTGCCGTGGGTGGTGCCCTGGCAGGGCTGGTCCTCATTGTCCTCATTGCCTACCTCATCGGCAGGAAGAGGAGCCATGCCGGCTACCAGACGATTTAGCGTCGCCGTAGACCAGCGGAAGCTGCAGGGCCTCTGTTCATTTCCCTGAGCTTAGATTGATGTTGAGGGAGGCACACTTTATTGCAAACTGATTTTCAGATCTGCTTTATCCAATGTGAAGTTCATCTTGCAACATTTACTATGCACAAAAGAGTAACTATTGCAATGACGGTGTTAATTTTGCTAACTGGGGTTAAATATTTTGCTAACTGGTTAAACGTTAATATTTACCAAAGTAGAACTTTAAGGGGGGGAGGGTAAGAGTGTTTTTCTAAATGGGCACTGGCTCCACTATCATTTGACTTTTTAAGGTTCTGGTGTTTGGTCTCTCTTCCTTCTTGACTCAGATATAAGCCTTACAAAGAGAAGTTCTCTGGTCTTAACACTTACAACTGGTGAAGGCTGGCTAACTGTTAGACTGACACAGTTAATAAAACAGTAGAGAAAGAACTTTTTAAAACACATACTTTAAAAGATGAAACTCTGGAATGCTTAAATTAAGCTTTAGAAGCCAAGGCAGGCCTGGCCCCCACAGGCTGCACAGCTCAACACTCGAGCGAGCATTAAAGCGATTGGTCTTTCCGTGCTCTGCCACTCAAGAGCTGGCACTTTTTTAAATAGAAAAATGGGTGTTATTTTTATTTACTTTTTTTTTTTTGTAAAGTGATTTTTGTCTTCTGTTTGAGGTTCAGGGTGATCCTGTGTCTGCACTTGTGTACAATAATCGGTTTCACTCTCTGATTTATCCGCTTGCAGCTCAGATGGGCTGTTCACTGAGGATCCCTTCATGTAACGCATTGCCGTAACAATGCTAATAAAACGTCTCTTTCTTTCCTTGTCTGGACCTTGTGCTTCTGTCACCTCTCAGGATGAACAGTGGAGAGCAGTGTGTAAGCTGGGTGGAGTGGGTGCCAGTAACAACTGCAAGTGGGGAATCTCCAAGCCACCCTGCTTCTAGGAGAACTGATGCGTAGCCAGTTTGCTGGGTGGCAGTTTGAGAACATGAGTCATGTCTTAAGGTCAGTCTTCAGTTGCGACAGTGCAGCCGTAGCATCCTACCCACACCAGGAGAATGAGGAGGGGAGGCGGGCAGCACGTGGGCTCCCTTGCAGCACTGTTTGGAACCTTGTGGCTCTGGAGATGGGATCACCCCTTCAAAGATGGGCCCTTATCTGGTCCTCCAGGACAGTGGTGGCAGGAGGCCCTGCTAGCTGTGCTTGGAGCTTTTAGAGGAGGAGCTCTAACCTAATTTTATTTAATCTTAACTTTTTAAGCAAAGACCCCTCCCTACCCTCTGAAGATCTATGGGCCTTGGTGGCTAAGGCTGAGGGCAGCCTGCCTGCTGGGTATCCCTGACCACCACCCACATACCTGCACCCCAGAATCTGCTGTCCCCATGGGTGGGAGATTTTCCTTGGTAGAATGGAGGAAGCCCTGTGTGGTTCTTAACTCTAGCAGTTTTTCAAACCAAACAGCAGCATGGGGCCGTGTGATGAAGACCAAGATGGAGTTGCAGTTACCAGCAGTCTGAAAGCTGCCTAGGGATGGAGCTCAGGGCCAGCAGGCAGCAGCATGACCACAAGCATTAGCAGTGCTTAGATTTTAGTTTCCCCAGTCTGGATAGTGCAGGCACTTTTTATGCCTGATCTAGAACTGAGAGAAATCAGCAGTTGGCTGAGGGTCAGGTCTTAGTAGGTGTTTCAGGATTTAGAGAACATTAGAATGGCCAGGGTAGAAATGGCATGTGTCTGGGGAGGGGCAAAGGTTTCCAAGGACCCAGCCAGCCCCGTGGCTCCCTGAAGCTTCAGTGCCTGGGCAGGTGATGGGGCCATGCCCTAGAGGTACAGCTGCTTACATTTCAAGAAGGGGGACCTCCATCACTGGGTTCCTTCCAGGGGAAGCCCCACTGGCTGGTTCATCAGGTGCAGCTCCAAGTTATCCTGTCCAGAGTGGGTGCCTCAGTTCCTGGGAGTGAAAGGCTTGGGACCACACAGCTGGTGTTGAAGTGTCCAGACTAGAAGCTCTGAGGCCACTCTGGGCATCTGTGCCAGTCCCATGCCAATGACCCACATGCTCGGCTATTTCTTGTGGGGGGCGGGTTCCCCAAGCTCGGCAATTCATCCAAGCCATTGTTTCCTCCCAATGACAACGTCTAAAGTGGAATGGGACATTAGCATGCTATTTTGGTCTTGGTCCAGTTTCATCAGTAGCCATGGGGGAAGGCATTTCCATGATGGCCACAGCTAGAGATGAGTGAGGATGGGGTCAACCCAGGCTGCTGCCATCAGGCAAGGCCTCCATCACTCAGATCCATTAACTGCCTCCCTTTAGGGGTGAAACTCACCACTGACAGGTGATCGCCGTATAGATGTGGGATGCAGATGGATATGTTTGTAAATTGAAGAACATATTTTGTAGAAATCAAGAGATGTTTTCAGGTCACACTGCAGAGCAGGGCAGGCAAACTTGGGGCCACTGGGCCAAGTGGGGGGACGAGGAGAAGCAGGCCAACTGCTCCTGAGTGCCCCCACATGACTCCCATCTGCCCTGCTCAGCATGTCCACCTGTCTCTACCTGTCTCCTCTTTCCCCCATGTTTCTGCCCGCCCCGTCCCAACCTGCCCCTGCCTCTCCCATGCAGGGCTTAGCCTGCCCAGGCAGTGGGGTTTCTCAGAGACAGTACCACGCATCAGGGTTCAGGATGGTGAGATGGGTCTAGGTGGGAGGTTCATGTCCTCAAACCCAGAGAGGACAGGGTCTCACCAGGTACGTCTTGTCCTTCCAGGGGTCCAGGAAGAGGCGGCTGCATCAAGCACTCATGGGCCCAAATGAGACTCTTCATGTGATACAATTTTTAGAATCATTTTTTTAAATTACCTTTCTAGCCCTGGTTGGTGTGGCTCAGTTGGTTGAGCATAGTCCCGTGCACCAAAAGGTTGCCGGTTCCATTTCCGGTTAGGGCACATGCCCCAGTTGTGGGCTCGATCCCCAGTACAGGGTCATGCAGGAGACAACCTATCGATGTTTCACATCAGTGTCTCTCTCCTCCCTCTCAATAAAAATCTAAAAATCAAGTTTTAAAAATCTTTTAAAACATTACCTGTCTAAAGAGAAGTCACTTGATACCTGTTACAAACCTCATATGAAGGTAAATGTTCTGCCACAGAAAGCAATAGAATATTTAATTGGCATTAGTAACACTAATGACAGTTAACTGTCTTGGTTTTAATTTTCAGTCAGCTGGCAAGCTAATAATGAACTCATAGGTTGTTGACATATTTATTAAATACAAACACACATCTCACATTTTATATATTACTGTCTCAGGTAAAAATATATCTTCAGAAATTTGACTTCATAGCTCATCAGTTACAGAATGACATGATTTTAAATCGCTCTTTTTAAAAAATTCATGACGAAAGTGTAGAGACGTCAAGTATTTACAGCACTAAAAAGGAAAGTAGTAAAAATTGGTCAACTCTGGGAATGAAGCCTCACGGTCAGTCAGTGCAGAGGGGAGACTGTCCAAGTCAGCCCTGCACCAGCAGCTTGGCCCTGCAGCGCTCTCGAAGCTGGGTGATGGTGGTCATGGACAAGCTTCCAGGTTCTGAGAATATTTTCTGGAAGAGAAACGGAATTGGTTTAATAACAAACCAAAAATGTTTACCTTAGCTGCCCCGTTAGAGGCTAGGCTATGTCAGATGGACATAAGACCACAGGCCTCCTGCACATCAAGGGAAGACAGCCCTCAGTCCCAAGTAGTTCTTAATAAATTCTAGATAGTAACTCTTAGCAGATACGTGGTTTGCAAATATTTTTTCTGGTCACTGTTGTTGGTTTCCTTAGCTACACATAAGTTTTTAAGTTTGACGTGTATTTTTGCTTCTGTTGCCCATGTTCTGTTTTTGCATTTAGACCCTTTAACTGTTGTATCCTGTAGCAGCTCTGAAGCTGGTCAGGCCATTCATGAGCAGACTAAGTAAAGTATAAGAAACCAGATTTGAGAAGTGGAAGCAGGAAGAGACTCAGACTCATTTCTAGTAAGAGAACTACTTCACCATGAGAAGAAAAGGTGTCTTGGGGAGGGAGGCAGAACAGAGAGCCAGCAGGCGGGACTCCAGAGGCCAGGTGTTAATGATTGACATGAGAACACAGTTTAAGCTGGCTGATGTGCCACCGCATCTTTTATTTTAATTATTTGTGCAGTTACTGAGAAATTCACAGTTATAAATTAGGCCAAGTGTAAAGGCTAGTCATTAAAAAGACTTTTTTTTTTAAAGGAATTACATTTCTGAAATTCTGTAGTTTTGTAATACACAGCACCTAAGATTAGGGTAGAATGTTTGCGTGCTGACTGGCCACGTTCCTGAAAAGGGGAAAGTAAGTGAAATCCACTGAGATGCACCAGGATGTTCCAGTTCAACTGTCATCTTCGCATTAATGTTCCACTGAGCTCCAATATGAAATCACGGTTTTATTCACCATGAAACTCTAGAGGTTCTATTTTAGGATTTCAGAAAGGTTTGACGTATGAACTGCAATTGCTGTACAGATGTGCTCTTAATACAGAAATACATATACAATTTTGTAGAAATCACTGAGAAAATAGTGACTGTACTAGGGCTGTTTCCCTCCCATCTTCCCTTGAATGGCTACATCTATCCTGTACAATGATACACAGCATTTTTATTTCGAATGGGGTAGACTGGCGAAACCCACCCAGTGTCTTCATGATCCTCTGTGCTTCCCTCAAGCTCACAGGGCCAGAGTGCCTTTGGGCCGTGACACAGGCAAGGTCCCACCATGGACCAGCCTGCCCACCTGCAACTGGCTCACAGATCAGTCACCTCGCTGGCCTTAGTATTTATGAATACTAGCACTGCCCAGCCGACGTGGCTCAGTGGTTGAGCATCAACCTATGAACCAGGAGGTCACGGTTCAATTCTCGGTCAGGACACATGCCCAGGTTGCAGGCTCGATCCCCAGTAGGGGGTATGCAGGAGGTAGCCGATCAATGGCTTTCTCATCATTGATTTTTCTATCTCCCTCTCCCTTCCTCTCTCTGAAATCAATAAAAACATGTAATAAATACTAGTGCTTATTGAGCACTTACTGTGTGCAAGGTACTCTGATAAACATTGGCATAACTTAGTACTAGTTAAAGCTGAACAACCTTGAAAGCATTATGCTGAAAAAAATCAACACAAAAAGGCACACATTGGTTCTACTTATGTGAAAAGTCCAGAAGAGAGAAATCCTTAGAGACAAAGTAGACTGGTGGTTGCCCAGGGATGGGAGTGGGAAAGGGTCCGGGGGCTCCTTTTCAGGGCGATGATGTTCTGGAACTAGATAACAAACCAGGTAATGGAACTCGGACTCTGAACTGTTCAAAGGGTGAATTTTATGGTATGGGAATTATATCTCATTAAAACAATACCCTAAACATCCCTAGGATGCAAGACCTATTATTAACTCATCCCTATTATATTATAAATGAGCGACCTGAGTCTAAAAGGAATCATAAAACCTGCCAGCAGTGGTACAGGTGAGGGTGAGCTATGATTCTGTCCAAGTTCAATGTTGGGCTCCTACCAGCTCCAACATACAATCACAGACTCAAGGCCTAGAAGAAGCATGATCCTGCCATCTGCTGCTTGAATTGCCCTGTAACATTCCCGCCAAGAGGCCACCAGCTGGCCTAACGATTTCCAAGGGCCAAGAAGTTACCCCTCTGGAGGCACATTCTGCCATAGGTGACCAGCTCCAGCTCTACCCAACAAGCCTCCAGAGGAGTCAGAGGTTTTTGTCCGACGTTTCTCATCGGTCATCCCCATC